AAGTATTGGATCGCGCTATAACACAGCTACACCTGCAAGACGAGACCCTTTACAGACCGTCTTCCATGGAGGAATTCAATAAACAATATCGCAGACTCAACAGGGTGTGGATGGACACAGTGCGGTCGTCGCAGCTACCCAAAAATGTAGGCACACGCCTAAAGTGTGACCTCCCGACCTGCCCTGTGCTCTATACCCTCATCAAGACGCATAAGCTCTCCCAAGCCACCACGTCATCTAACAATCCTGCGGACTTCCCGGTACGGCCAATAATAAGCAGTGTAGGGGGCCCCACCGACTTAGCTAACAAGGAAAGGATGGTAGGTCGAAGTGGCCGTATAAAATGAGATGTATACCACCTGATGCGTCTCTAGACGCTGATTCCAAATCTGCCTTCCAAATCTGCTAAACGGCTCTCCGAACGGAGTTATGAAGCGTAATAGCTCAGTGGTGATGGTCCGGGGTGGCAGGTAAAAGCTCGTAGGATCGGTTCCTTTGCAAATTGGTTGCTTTGCTTTTGTCTCTAGAAGTGTTGCGGACAAAAGCAAAGCAACAAACTTGCAAAGGAACCGATCCTACGAGCTTTTACCTGCCACCCCGGACCATCACCACTGAGCTATTACGCTTCATAACTCCGTTCGGAGAGTCGTTTAGCAGATTTGGAAGGCAGATTTGGAATCAGCGTCTGGAGACGCATCAGGAGGTATACATTTCATTTTGAACGGCCACTTCGACCTACCATCCTTCCTTGTTAGTACCACCTCCTGACAATATGTCCCGCACCTCACCTAATAGCAGCATATTCCTCGACCGATTGCGGGAAGCTAGGCTCAGACGCCACCACGTCATGGAGTCATTCGATGTGACGTCCCTATACACCAATGTATCGGAACAGGGATGCTATGCAGGCCATATTGGAATTGCTCAATGATCACGAACCATCGATAAACACACATATGCCTTTTCCATTACGCCAGGTGATGGAACGAACTAATGACAAAGAGTGCCTGAGAATGCTCTATTTTTAGGTGGTCCGGTCGTTACTAAAGGCAGATCAGGGGATTGGCCATGGGGCAAAGGCTGGCGCCAGTGCTGGCCATAGCCTACATGTCCAAAAATAGAGAAACCGTTGCTGGATCGTCGGCCGATCATGTATTGTCGGTACATGACGACTGGTTTGTCGTCTGTTCAACGGAGAAGGAAATGGACACGTGCTATGACCTGCTCAATAGACAAGCAGGCAACATCCAGTTCACACGGAAGAAGCCTAAGGAAAATTGGCTTTCATTCCTCAACGTACAAGTAATGGAAAGAGGATTCTATTGAACCAGGTGGTACCGGAAACCCTCTAATAAGAACATCCTGGTGCATTTTAGGTCGGCGCATCCTCTCAGAACGAAGCAGTCTATTACAAGGAGCATGCACAGGAAGGCCATCTTGACTTCATCGGGAATACAGGAGAGGGAGGACTCCTTGGATCTTGCTAAGAAGGTTGCGTCTCTCAAACGGCTACCCTCCCAGAGACCATACCCTTCCCGCACCACCTTATTAGAAAACAACACGGCTCTGCAAGCGATAGTTCGGAAAAAGTGCCCTTCTGCATACCCTTCGTAAGCGATACCATAAGCGCAGCTATGCGGGCGGCCGTGCACAGGTGTGGGTTGGATGACATGGTACGGGTGGTCGACATCCCTCCGGCAAACCTCAACAACAACTGGTTAGGAACCGCTGGTATGATCGTGCCTGCCTTACCCCCCCCCCCCATTGCGTTGTCTGTCCTAATGGGCGGGAGGGTGACTGCATGACGTCAGGTGTGATCTACCTGATCTCATGCAAGCTATGCGGGGATGAGTACATCGGAGAGACAGGGCGACCCCTGTGCGCGAGGGTCAAGGAACACCTAGATGGTTAAGTCGAGCTAGGCCTGAGACCCCCCTGGGAGCTCACCGCATGCAGTCACATGGAGGCGCAGGATTTGAGGTAGCAATCAGTATTCTGCTGCGAGAACCACTAACTTCTGCACGCAAGACCCTTGAGGCATTCTTCATTAACGCCAGGTCCCCTAAAATGAACAGGAAAGACGAATGCCTAGCCATAACTAACGAACTCGCGCCTTTTTCTGACCTCTGTGGGCTTCGTTTGCCATCGGCTTCATGCCGAGGGGCCAGGTCATCTGAAGCCATCCCCCTGTAGTCAGATTAGCGGTGGTCTACACCAAGTCCGGTCGTTTCTTAAGGTGGGTCCAAGTGTTTGTGATTTGTGATGCCTTCCTAGAGACATGGGTCTATGGGACTTTCTTGAAGTTTGAAATGGTGTTTGGGGGGTGAATCGCACTTATCTTTGGCTTTCCAGGCTCCGACGAAGGCGATAGGCCGAAACGTTAGCCGAGTAAAACGTTCATAATATCTTGGTTGCGGCTCAAGAAACCTCGCTGAAAGTAACTCTCGCAATGCCAAGATTGACCGAGAGTCGAACATGGACACGGTATTCTGGGTATTATTCGGAACCAAGAGAACTATGCTATCTAACACACACCAATATGATCTTGAAGAAGCTTCCGTCAGAAATCTGACTTCTCTGAAAGTTCCATTTTCACAATCCTTTCAGATAGACAATCCTTTCCAGGGTAGACAATCCTTTCATACTGTTGCGCTTTCTTAATCCCTTAATCCGGTGCCCCGAAAACCATTCAGAACAGTTTTTCTCCTTCGACTATTCGAATATAAAGCCCTTACCGTCAACAAGCCCTGCTTTGGAAAACGCCACGCACGCTCTTGTGGTTAAAAGTTGCGAAGGCATTTAGAGGTCTATATCTTTTGCTATGACCTGTGAAAGCCAGCCATTCCCATCCTTGTCGTGTAACAATGCAAACCTAACCCTTCTGATGTGTTATAGATTCTGTGACACCATATAAACTTGAAATGCTAGTTATCCTCCTTGTAACCTCTGACGAGCTGGTGTTTCATCCCGTCGATTATGAGAGATGTAGAAGAAACTAAACTCGAATCAAACAACTTTCATTTCATTTTTTCCACAAACTCAAGTTCTCTTCCATATATCCCTCTCTCATTCACTTACCAGTGACACATCGCCGCGATTTCCGCCACCGGCCCTCGGGTTTTTGATCATGGTGAGGCCCCCCACCATGATCAAACCATCTTGTGCAAATAGTTCGCTTGACCCTCGTGTCTGAAGTGACTGCCTTAAGGGTGCAGAAGCTCCAGGGTGGATAACCAGGCCAAAATATAACAGGTCTTAAAAAACCAAAAACCGCTCTTATTTCGTGTGAAATCCAAAGTAGTAGAAGGAACAACGAAGAGTTTTCAAATTCTATTGCGCGCAGATGTCACAGCTGTGGACAACCGGTGACACGTTGATGACCCTTAACGTTCTTTTATGTTTTTTTTTGGGGGCGGGTGATGTCAGAGAGCAACGGTTTTGTTGCGAGCTGAGGATCGCAACTCTCTATACTGATGCATAGTTTCATGAGGACGCTTTTTTGAGCTCAAAAATGCTAGATGGCATAGTTTCATGAGGACGCTTTTTTGAGCTCAAAAATGAAGCGGGCCTCCAACAAATATAGCTGACAAAAGAATTACGCCTAAAAGTGCGTATCATGTTTGAGTCAGCACTTGCCAAAACAATCTATCAAGACTAGGAAAATTGTTTGAGCTAGGGACAACATCGAGGATTTTTCGTTGTCTTTTCTAAGGGAACACGTCACGCCACAATTTCATGGGGGGACGGACGACTTTCTTGTTATAATCATCGCATTTGCACGTGAGTCCTGCAGCTCATAGTTCCTCATTCAATAGCCGACCCTTATGAGCAGTGTTCCGACTCGAACGTGAGCACAGAGGCGCTGAGTATTTGCCGAGACCGCTTCACACTTGCATTTTTCTGGCTCGCAACATGCGGGTGTCCGCGGCCCCTTCGTTTTCTATCTCAGCTATTTCCTCTATCGTGCCCACCTTCTCACTCCCTAGCACAAAAATGATGAGCCATTAAGTTCAGCGGTTTTTTAAAGATTTTTCATCTTTCTCTACCCATCCACTTCGCCCCGCGCGACGCTTTTTTATTTTCGCAACGCGGAATCACAATCACTTTTGATACGGAATGTGTATTCTTTATCACAGGAACCCGTACATCGTTCTTAACATGGATTCATTTAGACGTAAAATTGCGCTGTAGAGATTTTTTCTGAATGGGTTAAGTGCTGTGATATGGTCGTTTCTCATCGCATGATAATTTGCAAACACAGGATAGATTCAATCCAATATTTTATTTAGTGCTTCCTCTTATGTAGTCAAAAATGACGGAATAATGACGGTGGTTGCGTGATGCGTGATGGGAGCACTGACACACTTAGCTTAAAGGCAAAGGTCGGGCTCAGGCACGCTAGAGAAGTAATTCCCGTGCCTGGAGGTTGTATGTGGGTAGCTGCACACATTGCAGCAACTTCCCACCTTGAAAAACCCCGTTAAGGCCCCGGGGCGTTCGGTTTCAATCCAGGGCCGCCTGGTCAATCCAGGACCGCCCACCTCCGGAAGTGGTGCGTGGCTGGCATAACGTGTGAAATCAGCTAGGTTGATTGCCGTATCAACCGATAGAACGACTGACATCTCCAGAAAACTTGTTTGTACGTGCCCCAAGCCAGCCTCCTTCACTGCTAGTGGGAAAGAGGGTTTTGTTAACGGCCTTGTCGACGGTTTTTCTCAGTTTTTTCTCCACTGTCGTTCCACTTCGCATCTCTATACTCAGTTTCAATCGCCATAATACCCCCTTATTGAGCCCGACTTTTGCCTTTAATACAACGCTCTAGTGACTAGTAAGGTGCGATAAGGTAGTTTTGTGGTGTGTAGCACAACATCATGGTGGAACCCGCTGTGAAACGGCTGTGAAAGCTGTTTTTATAGTGGTTTGTGTAGCTTTTTGTCCCTGATCCGAAAGAGATCTGAACTTTGAATAAACCATATGAGAGAAACGGTCATTTTGAACTTTTATTTATGAATGGAAGGTTCAATTACTTTGTATGATAGGTGGGGAAGCACAAAGTCCTTTGTATAAATAAGTCTTACTGCAGCCGCCAAAACATTGGTTGCACATTGGGCCAACGTTGTAGATATTTTGGTTGACGACGTTGCCACTGAAAGCGTTTCAGTTCATTCACTTGATGTTGCGTTCATTTATGATGGTTCACATTTATATTTTTTTTACATTTTTCGTTGATTGAGCTATCGAAGATCAGGGACGCTGCCGTTTTCGCCAAGGAATCGAAGATAAGGTGGGCCGGACACGTCATGCGATTTTGCGATGACCGTTGGACCAGAGCGGTTACCGACTGGATCCCTCGGGACGTCAAACGAACACCTGGACGACCGCCGGCCCGATGGTCAGACTTCTTCACGAAAGCTCTGAACGAAAGGAATGAAGGACTTCGTGTCCCTCGAGCGAGGAGGATCCACTGGACAACTCTGCACGCGACAGGGACGAATGGAGACGTTGCTGGCGCCCGCTCGAGCAAATCGACGATCAACGGGACGACAGGTGATACAGGTGATACAGGTAACATTTATGGTTGCGCGCAACAAGCCTATCTTTCATTCAAAAACCGATCCCTATGTAATGAAGCATGAATTTGCCCTAAATATGCGCAAGTGCACTAAAAATGCCTGAAGCGCTCAGGTGAAACTTAGTACAGAGCAGTTAAGGCCTTTCAGCTAGTCCGGCTTTTGGGGTCTTGTTACTGAAGGAATACTGAAGAAATTCCGTAATCCTTTTCAGCTATAGTGAGACACTTTACCATTACATTGCGTCTCGAAGGCAAACCCCAGGATTAGCTCGACTAGTAGGAGGGATACCGCGAGGGGAATTGTGGGGTTCGTACCTTCATAAGATCTTGCCAGCTTCGTTGCCCACTGTGCGATTAAGGTACTTATCCATCACAAACCTGGCAACTATCGACCCATCGGCCTGCAACGCTCCCACCTCCCCAGCATCAAATATAAAGAGCAGCAGCCTTCTTACGCGCATGGGTCTGCTCTCCTTGATCGCCCTGTCTAGCCATCGTACCACTCCGATGCCGTTAACACGTTGACGACAACGCGCGTTTTGGGTTTTTGCGCCGCGTGGGACCACGGCGATTTTACAGGCGCCGCCGTCTCACATAAACTCCGTGAATTTTGAGCTTTAACTACGCAATACTCGGATGGAACAGAATGTTTCGAATGATATTCGATGTGTCAAACTTAACAGAAGGAACAACTGTAAAAGTTCGATCAAATCTGACGTTTCCTGGCAACAAAAAGGCGAGTTTCAGTTGCTTTTGCATATAGTAAACCTCAAAATTACTTTTCACACGGTCACTCCACTAAAAACATATATCTTGCTATACGTGTAGGTCTGTGCTTACTTCTACTACTATTTTTTATGACCAAGGTTGTCAGAATATAAAGAAAACTAGGAATGAACACATTTCGGAAATTCGTAGGGCTTGGAAAACCTTTGCTAAAAAGCAATTCAAACCATTCGATGAATGATTGCCGTGTGTCTAGTCATATTATGGAGTGGTCTATAGAATAGATGCAAAAAAATTAGAAAAGAAGTAGCGCATGCGCGAAAAAAATAAATATTTTGTGTGTGCAGCGCATGCGCTGCACACGGTCCCACACGGTGCTCAAGGTGTGATGCGCATGCGCTGCACAATGTCGTCAACGTGTTAATGTAGGTTCAATTTTAGCGTTCCCTAATATTCCTCTTGCCTTCAATCTATCGCGCCAGAACGTTTCGTCCCTACTTTCTGGGTTCAGAGCTTCGAATTTACACCCTTCTCACGACGCAGGGTGAATGATGGTCGAGGAATTCCTCTCGACTGTGGCTCCTGTAACCTTGTGCGGGGTTGAAGCCGAGGAGTTAGTACACACAAGATTATAAGTTCAGGAACATAGGCTGTATACCGTAACCCTCCGACGTGCACTGGGGCGCGCAATGTCACGTGTCATCGATTTTTCCATGTGTGCTCGGCACCCACTTCTTTTCTCTCTGCGTTCTCTCAACGAAGAGAGTATGCGTCGAGAAAAACCGCCAACTATACTACGAGCAGTTGATTAAGAACGCGGAGGATAGCACGCGCACACGCTGCGAAACACGCGCCACCCCCTAGCGCTAATGTGGGTACGATACCTCCCCTTATCCTCCTGAATCCATGATACTTGTGACGTACACGCGGAGAGCTCGCGCATGGCGAGTGTGAATGTCGCGCAAGAGAGCGTCACTGATCAGGCGAAAATCCTCGACAAGCCGTTGAGGAATCCTCGACCGATATTCATCCTGCTACGACGTGTCACCTTGCACATGGCGTACATCGTTCTGTTTGCCCTCTTTACTCCGCCCGTTTTTCTATGGCCTGTTCACAGAGTAAGGGTTTAGGAAGCTGCTTGTTCCTTTTTGGGAGCTGAGCATGTATGGGACTTTGTATTTTGCAAATAGTGGTCACACATGAAACAAATGACCAATACCGTGGACTGTAGCGACACACGACGACGTAGTTGCCTCCGCAAAGTCTAGCGCCACAGCCAAGTTGTGTAGTAGAAGCCCATGCCATCTAAAATGCAAATTTTGGCCTGCAACATGATGGATGTTTCTTTTTTGTCAAACAGCCAGATGCCACATTTCTCGAACTTCTGCCTAATCATTTTAGTTCAATAAAAGTAGCGCTGCTGTGCAACAGTGCTTATTGCTTTCGCTTTTTGGGTTTCAGCATCTCGCTGCTCCCATTTCCTACATTTTGGCCCATGTCCAGCCTGTTTGAAGCATGATCCGGTCGCTCCAGTTTGTTTCTAAGGTAATGCCGAGCTTCATGCGGAAGTGGTGTAGTGGAAAGTGACAAGGCTTACCGCGCGCGCGGACTGGGATTAAATCCTGGGTCGTGCGTCGTTCAGGCCGACCAAGCCTTTTATCCCTCCGGAGCCAGGTAAAGAAGCGACTACGATAAAGAAAGAAAGCGATGAAGTGCGAGGACGGGCATATGCAACGAAGCAGTTACTTGGCTGCCAGGGAAGCGAGTGTGGCGCTTCCACGACGAAAGGTGCGCTGGTTGCTGAGCAGGACTTCGAAAGCACTCCGCCCCCAAAAGCGATCCGCCCACTAGTTAGTTGGTGATTTGGACGAGCTGCGTTGCCAGCAGCGGCACAACTGGAGCAACTCGACTGGAGCAGGCTTGGCATGGTGCCACCAAACGCGTTGCGATGAGCTCGCTCATTCTCATGACACTACTTTCCTGTTCATAAGTGAAAACCA